AATCCTGATGATCTCAGCCAATCCAATGCTTTCCCATAGGGTACAATAGGACTGTAGACCTATTGGCTTGAGTGGCAGCATTATGGGAAAGGAAGAGAGAAGGTTTATTTACCTGAATCTCTTCCACCACTTTCTGGCTCAGATCCATTTTCAGTTTCTGGCAGACGAATCTGCCAAGAGCTGTGACACCGGTGTACTGTCATGAATATAGAGTAAATATAAAGTAAAACGCAGATATAACAAAAAAAAACACAGGATTGTGCATCGATTTTTTCACGTGTGCACAGGGCCTGATTTCCCATAAGGCAACAGAGGCCCCTGGGTGGCAGGTATGAAAGGGGCAGCACAGCGAGTGCGGTGTCACACAGCTCCCTCACCAGCAGAACCATGTCAGTGTGCACACATTGATCATGTCAGGGGGCACACATTGATCATGTCAGGGGGCACACATGGATCATGTCAGGGGGCACACATGGATCATGCCAGGGGGCACACGATCGTGTCACGGGGCACACGTTGATTGTGCCAGTGAAACATCTAATTCAATCCCTGCTTCATCAGCATCTCATTCACGCCGAAACCCCACCACCATGGGATCCATCCCATACCCCACCACCATTATATCCATCCCTTACACCATCACCATGCTATCCATCCATTACCCCATCACCATGCTGTCCATCCCTTACCCCATCATCATGCTGTCCATCCCTTACCCCGTCATCATGCTGTCCATCCCTTACCCCATCACCATAATATCCATCCCTTACCCCATCACCATAATATCCATCCCTTACCCCATCACCATAATGTACTGGAGACCGTATCTTCAGAAGGATATTGATACCTTAGAGAGGGTTCAGAGAAGGGCTACTAAACTGGTTCATGGATTGCGGGATAAAACTTACCAGGAAAGGTTAAAGGATCTTAACATGTATAGCTTGGAGGAAAGACGAGACAGGGGGGATATGATAGAAACATTTAAATATATAAAGGGAATCAACACAGTAAAGGAGGAGACTATATTTAAAAGAAGAAAAACTACCACAACAAGAGGACATAGTCTTAAATTAGAGGGACAAAGGTTTAAAAATAATATCAGGAAGTATTACTTTACTGAGAGGGTAGTGGATGCATGGAATAGCCTTCCAGCTGAAGTGGTAGAGGTTAACACAGTAAAGGAGTTTAAGCATGCGTGGGATAGGCATAAGGTTATCCTAACTATAAGATAAGACTAGGGACTAATGAAAGTATTTAGAAAATTGGGCAGACTAGATGGGCCGAATGGTTCTTATCTGCCGTCACATTCTATGTTTCTATGTTTCTATAATATCAATCCCTTACCCCACCACCATGCTGTCCATCCCTTACCCCACCATCATGCTGTCCATCCCTTACCCCACCATCATGCTGTCCATCCCTTACCCCATCATCATGCTGTCCATCCCTTACCCCATCATCATGCTTTCCATCCCTTACCCCATCACCATGCTGTCCATTCCTTACCCCATCACCATGCTGTCCATTCCTTACCCCATCACCATGCTGTCCATCCCTTACCCCATCACCATGCTATCCATCCCTTACCCCACCACCATGCTGTCCATCCCTTACCCCACCACCATGCTATCCATCCCTTACCCCACCACCATGCTATCCATCCCTTACCCCACCACCATGCTGTCCATCCCTTACCCCACCACCATAATATCAATCCCTTACCCCATCACCATAATATCCATCCCTTATCCCATCACCATGCTATCCATCCCTTATCCCATCACCATGCTATCCATCCCTTACCCCATCACCATAATATCCATCCCTTACTCCATCACCATGCTATCCATCCCTTACCCCATCATCATGCTATCCATCCCTTACCCCATCATCATGCTATCCATCCCTTACCCCACCACCATGCTATCCATCCTTACCCCACCACCATGCTATCCATCCCTTACCCCACCACCATGCTATCCATCCCTTACCCCACCACCATAATATCCATCCCTTACCCCACCACCATAATATCCATCCCTTACCCCACCACCATGCTATCCATCCCTTACCCCATCATCATGCTGTCCATCCCTTACCCCATCATCATGCTGTCCATCCCTTACCCCATCATCATGCTATCCATCCCTTACCCCATCATCATGCTATCCATCCCTTACCCCATCATCATGCTATCTATCTCTTACCCTGTTCCATGTGGGCTGTGTTTTCTGTGTGTCAGCTCCTGCTCAGAGTCTGTGTGTGAATTTCATTCTCAGAACAGCTTTACACCCAGCCCCTCTCTCACTGCCTGATACACACAGACCTTCATCTCCCCCCTCGCTTTCCCTCCTTCAGTCCGTCTCACTCTCTCCCTTCAATCTCCCCCATGGAAGCTCCTTTCTCTGCTCCTCCTCTCCCATTTTAAAACCCCTTTGTGTGTTGCCCTCCCAACTCTGCCCAGTTAAAAGCATTGATCTGTCTCTCCTGTTCCCTGTCACTTCCAAACCTCCTCTCATGCAAAGAGCTCCCTCATCCCAACCACACAGCCTCCTCATCCCAGCCACACAGAGCTCCCTCATCCCAGCCACACAGAGCTTCTTAGCCCAACCACACAGAGCTCCCTCATCCCAACCACACAGAGCTCCCTCATCCCAACCACACAGCCTCCTCATCCCAGCCACACAGAGCTTCCTCATCCCAGCCACACAGAGCTCCCTCATCCCAGCCACACAGAGCTCCCTCATCCCAGCTACACAGAGCTCCCTCATCCCAACCACAGAGCCTCCTCATCCCAGCCACACAGAGCTCCCTCATCCCAGCCACACAGAGCTTCCTAAGCCCAACCACACAGCCTCCTCATCCCAGCCACACAGAGCTTCCTCCTCCCAGCTACACAGAGCTCCCTCAACCCAACCACACAGAGCCCCCTTATACCAACCACACAGAGCTCCCTCATCCCAACCACACAGAGATCCCTCATCCCAACCACAAAGCCTTCTCATCCCAGCCACACTGAGCTCCCTCATCCCAACCTCACAGCCACCTCATCACAGCCACACAGATCTTCCTCAGCCCAACCACAGAGCTCCATCAACCCAACCACACAGAGCCCCCTTATACCAACTACACAGAGCTTCGGACTCACACAGAGCTCCCTCACCCCAGCCAAACCACACAGAGCCCTCACTCCTAGTCAAAATTGCCACAGAGCTCCCTCACCCCCAGCCAAACCATACAGAGCCCCTACCCCAGCCAAACTCACACTGAGCTCCCTCACCCCTGCTGACCACACAGAGCTCCCTCTACCCCAGCCAAAGCACACAGAGCTACCTCACCCCCCAGCCAAACCATATACAGAGCTCCCTCACCCTCAGCCAAACCATACAGAGCCCTCACCCCAGCCAAATAATGAGCCCCTCACCCTGTAGCCAAACCATACACAGAGCTCCCTCACCTCTCAGCCAAACCATACAGAGCTTCCCACCCCCAGCAAAACTACACAGAGCTCCCCCACCCCCAGCAAAACTACACAGAGCTCCCTCACCCCCAGCCAAACATCACAGAGGTCCCTCACCCCCAGCCAAAGCACACAGAGCTCCCTCACCCCCAGCCAAACATCACAGAGCTCCCTCACCTCCAGCCTAATATCACAGAGCTCCCTCACCCCCAGCCAAACTGCTGAGAAGATTTGACTGTGGGGCAGCTTGGCCTCTCTCAGTGAGTGAAGCCATCAGACTATGTGCATCCATTTGTGAATAGAGGGGAGCCTCCCAAAAGCTTAGGAGGTGAGTGGGACCATGGTTTAACCATCAATGGCAACAATGAGTCTTTCACTGCTTTATTACAAGTTATCAGGAGTTTAATCTGATTTAATCTGTTACTAGTGATTGCTCATTTGTTGTTACATTATATGCTGTGATATGTGAGTGAGTTTGATTTATAAACATAGAAAATAATATTACAGCTCAGATATTTGATCCTTACTTTCACAATGTCATACAACTGAGAAATTTGTGAATAATTACCAAGATGTGCAATGTGCTGCAGGAGAACCGATACGTTTCACGTTGTGCAATGTGCTGCAGGAGAACCGATACGTTTCACGGTGTGCAATGTGCTGCAGGACAACCGATATGTTTCACGGTGCGCAATGTGCTGCAGGGGAACTGATACGTTTCACGGTGTGCAATGTGCTGCAGGAGAACCGATATGTTTCACGGTGCGCAATGTGCTGCAGGGGAACTGATACATTTCACAGTGCGCAATGTGCTGCAGGAGAACTGATACGTTTCCAGGTGTGTAATGTGCTGCAGGAGAACTGATACGTTTCACAGTGTGCAATGTGCTGCAGGAGAACCGATACGTTTCACGGTGTGCAATGTGCTGCAGGGGAACTGATACGTTTCGCGGTGTGCAATGTGCTGCAGGGGAACTGATACATTTCACAGTGCGCAATGTGCTGCAGGAGAACTGATACGTTTCCAGGTGTGTAATGTGCTGCAGGAGAACTGATACGTTTCACAGTGTGCAATGTGCTGCAGGAGAACCGATACGTTTCACGGTGTGCAATGTGCTGCAGGGGAACTGATACGTTTCGCGGTGTGCAATGTGCTGCAGTGGAACTGATACGTTTCGCGGTGTGCAATGTGCTGCAGGAAGTTTCACAGTGTGCAATGTGCTGCAGGATACCTGATACGTTTCACAGTGTGCAATGTGCTGCAGGAGAACTGATACATTTCACAGTGTGCAATGTGCTGCAGGGGAACTGATACGTTTTGCGGTGTGCAATGTGCTGCAGGAGATCTGATACGTTTCACAGTGTGCAATGTGCTGCAGGAGAACTGATACGTTTCACAGTGTGCAATGTGCTGCAGGAGATCTGATATGTTTCACAGTGTGCTGCAGGGGAGCTTATACATGTCACAGTGTGCAATGTGCTGCAGGACAACTGATACATTTCACAGTGTGCAATATGCTGCAGGAGAACTGATACGTTTCACAGTGTGCAATGTGCTGCAGGGGAACTGATACATTTCACGGTGTGCAATGTGCTGCAGGAGAACTGATACGTTTCGCGGTGTGCAATGTGCTGCAGGGGAACTGATACGTTTCACAGTGTGCAATGTGCTGCAGGGGAACTGATACGTTTCACAATGTGCAATGTGCTGCAGTGGAACTGATACATTTCACAGTGCAATGTGCTGCAGGGGAGCTTATACATGTCACAGTGTGCAATGTGCTGCAGGACAACTGATACGTTTCACAGTGTGCAATATGCTGCAGGAGAACTGATACGTTTCACAGTGTGCAATGTGCTGCAGGAGAACTGATACGTTTCACGGTGTGCAATGTGCTGCAGGGGAACTGATACATTTCACGGTGTGCAATGTGCTGCAGGAGAACTGATACGTTTCGCGGTGTGCAATGTGCTGCAGGGGAACTGATACATTTCACAGTGTGCAATGTGCTGCAGGGGAACTGATACATTTCACAGTGTGCAATTTGCTGTAGGGGAACTGATATGTTTCGCTTTGTGCAATGTGCTGCAGGGGAACTGATACATTTCGCAGTGTGCAATGTGCTGCAGGGGAACTGATACATTTCACAGTGTGCAATTTGCTGCAGGGGAACTGATATGTTTCGCTTTGTGCAATGTGCTGCAGGGGAACTGATACATTTCGCAGTGTGCAATGTGCTGCAGTGGAACTGATACGTTTCGCGGTGTGCAATGTGCTGCAGGGGAACTGATACGTTTCACAGTGTGCAATGTGCTGCAGGGGAACTGATACGTTTCGAAGTGTGCAATGTGTTGCAGGGGAACTGATACGTTTCACAGTGTGCAATGTGCTGCAGTGGAACTGATACGTTTCGCGGTGTGCAATGTGCATCAGGAGAAATGATACGTTTCATTGTGTGCAATGTGCTGCAGGAGAACTCATTCATTTCAGTGTGCAATGTGCTGCAGGAGAACTGATACGTTTCAAGGTGTGCAATGTGCTACAGGGGAACTGATACGTTTCACAGTGTACAATGTGCTGCAGGAGATCTGATACATTTCACAGTGTGCAATGTGCTGCTGGAGAACTGATACGTTTAACTTTAAGGGCCTTTTACTTTTTATTATTATTATTAATAAAATGTATCATGTTTATAGTAAAGGAGAGATCGTGTACAGAATACATATAACATTGTTAAAGTAGAGAAGTAGCCTGATCCCAAGAACCTGCACTCTATTCTTGATAAGTTGAGCAGGATATTTCTCGCTTTGTGCACGATTTCAGACTGAATTTGTTGATTTTATGTTCAATTTACCCATTACCAGAGAAATGACTATTCTTACTACACACCTGTCAGTCAGTCGCAATCTGTACTGCACTACGGTATGTGCTAGTGTCAATGCACTATTTCCTACCATGAAATTTCCTTTCTCTATGTCCCCCTCACCATTAATTGTGTCCAGCCATACTATGAGCTGCGCATGTAGTGACATAGACGCTAATCACTGGCAGCTCCTAATAAAACAATTAAAAATAATATAGACAGCCCAGAGGGGTTCAGGGATAAGGGGGTGCTGCGACCCTTACTTTATATATCTCTCAATAAAGGGGTGAATAGGTTAGGAAATGAGATGGATCTGAAATACTACCCAGGTATCTACTACCCTTTCTATATCATTGTTGCCGCTCCCACTGGAAGACTATTCCAGGTATCTACTACCCTTTCTATATCACTGTTACTGCTCCCACTGGAAGGCTATTCCAGGTATCTACTACCCTTTCTATATCACTGTTACTGCTCCCACTGGAAGGCTATTCCAGGTATCTACTACCCTTTCTATATCACCGTTACTGCCCCCACTTCAAGACTATTCCAGGTATCTACTACCCTTTCTATATCACTGTTACTGCTATCACTGGAAGGCTATTCCAGGTATCTACTACCCTTTCTATATCACTCTTACTGTTCCCACTGGAAGGCTATTCCAGGTATCTACTACCCTTTCTATATCACTGTTACTGCTCCCACTGGAAGGCTATTCCAGGTATCTACTACCCTTCCTATATCACTGTTACTGCTCCCACTGGAAGGCTATTCCAGGTATCTACTACCCTTTCTATATCAATGTTACTGCTCCCACTGGAAGGCTATTCCAGGTATCTACTACCTTTTCTATATCACTGTTACTGCTCTCACTGGAAGGCTATTCCATATATCTACTACCCTTTCTATATCACTGTTACTGCTCCCACTGGAAGGCTATTCCAGGTATCTACTACCCTTTCTATATCACTGTTACTGCTCCCATTGGAAGGCTATTCCAGGCATCTACTACCTTTCTATATCACTGTTACAGATCCCACTGGACGGCTACTCCAGGTATCTACTACCCTTTCTATATCACTGTTACTGCTCCCACTGGAAGGCTATTCCAGGCATCTAATGCCCTTTCTATATCACTGTTACAGATCCCACTGGATGGCTATTCCAGGTATCTACTACCCTTTCTATATCACTGTTACTGCTCCCACTGGAAGGCTATTCCAGGTATCTACTACCCTTTCTATATCCCTGTTACTGCTCCCACTGGAAGGCTATTCCAGGTATCTACTACCCTTTCTATATCACTGTTACTGCTCCCACTGGAAGGCTATTCCAGGTATCTACTACCCTTTCTATATCACTGTTACTGCTCCCACTGGGAGGCTATCCCAGGTATCTACTACCCTTTCTATATCACTGTTACTGCTCCCACTGGGAGTCTATTCCAGGTATCTACTACCCTTTCTATATCACTGTTACTGCTCCCACTGGAAGGCTATTCCAGGTATCTACTACCCTTTCTATTTCACTGTTACTGCTCCCACTGGAAGGCTATTCCAGGTATCTACTACCCTTTCTATATCACTGTTACTGCTCCCACTGGAAGGTTATTCCATGTATCTACTACCATTTCTATATCACTGTTGCTGCTCCCACTGGAAGGCTCTTCCAGGTATCTACTACCCTTTCTATATCACTGTTACTGCTCCCACTGGAAGGCTATTCCAGGTATCTACTACCTTTTCTATATCACTGTTACTGCTCCCACTGGTAGGCTATTCCAGGTATCTACTACCCTTTCTATATCACTGTTA